CAGTTAATTATTGAAATTCACCACTAGTTATTTCCACGATCAATATTGTAAAAAGGGGGGGGGGGTGCGCTAGTTGTTTAGATTATCTGTCATTAGTAACTGTCTCTTCAGAAGGTAGAGTTCCACGTTGATCTAAAAAAGAATCTTTCATTTTAAACTGAAATTTAACCCTCAGTTCCCACTCTGCTCTAAAGACGTCTGCTTTGCTTTTGTTTTGTCTGGTTTGTTTGCTTTACTAAATAACCTTCTGAATAACTGTCTGCCCTACACCCGTAATAATGCATGCCACGCAGATGATAAGAGTTTTTCCTCTTATACCTGTGTCTCCCCAGGAATGACTAGTGTCTCAGCTCTCTTCCCAGGTACAGCCATGTCCCCGGGATCCAGTTTGTGGGGCCTTTAGGTATAGCGGCTGCAGTATTGTTTGAATGCAGCCCTACATAGACAGTTTGTTGGGTGTTTATTTTTTAATTTCATTGCATTTGCAGGTCTGATTTACATGTTTAAATATGCATTTATTTGACATAGTAATATTGCATTTTAGCATTTAATTTCTCTTCCTAAGGAAATTTAGAAGTGATATTAGAAATTATATTTGATATCTATGAAAAAGATTGGCATTATACTTCGGTAAAACCAAAGCAAGTGTTTTGTTTCCTATGTGTTTTAATTTGTACAACTATTTATGACTCGACTGCTAATTATTTACCAAAACAACTATGACAATAAATAAAAGCATATTTGTCTAACTTTTTTTCTTTTTAATAAGAAAGGGAGAATCCAAGGGAAACCTTTTAAGTGTTCTGACTGTTGGGTTTTATAGTCAACGTAGAGTTGCTTAATACCTGTCTCCTCACCTGATGGCCTTGTCTGTCTGTCTGTCCCATGCTCTTCCTGCCTGGACGGGCCTGACTGCAACACAACAACAGGAGCTGGATGAGGTACTGTGTTTCGGATTCTTTTTATGTTAGGTAATTTTCGTTTATAAAATGCTACTTTTCCTGAAGTCTTTGGTCACATCCAAGATGCTAGCCTATCTGATATACATTTAGTGTGCATTTGGATTACTGTGTAGTGTGTGAGTTCATTTCATACCGGGTACATCGTCATACGGTGCAAGGTGGTGGCTTAGAGGGTGCTTGGGAGGCCTGTCTACTGTAGGGGACATTCTCAACTTTGGAAGTAGCCATGCATGAGTATTCTTAGACTGTGACACTGGCTGCCCACCCACAGGATGATGGCGCGGTCTGATTTCTGACAGAAGGGTCTTGTGGCTCAAGTGGAGCAAAGGAAACAGGCCAACTGGTGGCAGCCTCCAGCAGGTAGAAGTAAAGGCACGGTGCTCTTGCCATCTCCGAGTCCCTCGTGCTCAGGTGAAGTGACAGATACTCTATGTGGGGGGCTATCACAGTGAGGCCCCCTTCTGCCCTTCCTAACAGACCGCTTTTGCTCTTTTCACCCCCTGTTAGCATCTCACGGAAGGTGAAGGGTGGTATGCATCCATAGACCTTGATTGTAGTGGCTCCTACCAGGGTTGGGAGACAGGGATACTGGCACTGCTGCTGACCACAGTAGAGGCTCTTTCTGTCTCAGCGATGAAGAGGCAGTGAAGGCTTTTCTGAGGGCTGACCTTTTCCAGAGTAACTTAGGGGAGGGCTGGTTTGTTTTAATGTGTAAGTTTGTACAGAAAGGCGTGATCAGGATGACTACCTTGAAAACCGGAAGGTTAGCTAGCTGCTGGCGTAGAGGCCATCTGCACAGTCGGAAAGCCTGAACTGTGTAGTTGATAATGCCAACAGACTGCACTGCCTAAATGCCCTTCATCGGGAGCCAGTTAGGAAATGACAGAGCTCTGAAGTAGCTTGAAACCCAGTGAAGCCCACCCTTGAAGGCTGGGGAACAAGCTTCCGCACCCATGGTCAGGGGGGAAGGAAATTAGATGCAAAATGGTGTGGATAATAGAATTCCTGCTTTTTCTTTTGTTTTAAGAAAAATAACTCACATTCATTCTTGTGTGTACTCTTAGATTCTGAAAAGATACATAAGAATCCACTAACAGTGGATCCCTCTTGAGACCAGGGAGGAAACTGGGATGTGAGGGAAACTTCCTGTTGGTTACAAACTCTTTGCTAAGGGTACACACACACTTAAACTATGGGCATATATCACTCTGGTCACTAGAAACAGTATTTAAAACCCACCCTCAGCCGGAAGCTCATTGACCAGGTGCCAAAGCCAGGCCTGTTTGGGAGTTTCCTGTCTCATCCAGCAGCCTTACTGCTGGCACCAGCCTGGGCCCTGGGCCTGTAAAGGTGGGAGGTCTCTCTTCCTGCACAGTGAAGCTAGGGGTCTCTGAGGCACAGTTGATGCACATGAAATTGCTGATCAAACTCCTGCTGAGTTACGGCCCAGGGACTTGGAGCCTGATAGATACAGAGTTTGGTAACAGACCATGTGTGGAAGGGCACTCCTCTCCGCTGAGCAGACTGCAGTGTAGAACACCCCAGGACTGAGGAAAGAAGGGAGATTGTGGGAGGGCAGGTACATGATGCTGACTGCCTCAGGGTCTGCCCTCGGGAGGAGCCTGTTCCTAGTCTTTCTCCTTCCTCTTCAGGGGCAAGTTCTAGAAACTGGCCATGCAGGTATAAGCCTGTAGGCCCTTTTTCTTTTCTGTTTTTCTTCTTTTTTTCTTTTTCTCTCTTTTTTTTTTTTTTTTTTTTTAAGATTGGGTCTCAGGATATGGCCCAGGCTGGGATCATAGACCTGTGTCGCCACAGCTCACCCATTTGCTGTCCTGTGCTTAGCGCCTGGCTGCAGAGCCCCTGATGGAAGTGTGTGTTCTCAGCACACCCAGGCTGTTTCACGTGTCTTTTGGCTCTGCATGCTTCACTGGCTGGCTTCCCTGCTTTCTCCAACACCATTATGTTCTTCATAAAGTGTAGCTCCCAGAATTGTATGCGACATATTTTATTTACCTCATTCATTCATTCCACCCATTTACTGTTGACTCATTCAGCTAATTATAATTGTGTGTTCATTACTGTGAAGTGCCAGGTGCTGAACGCAGAGCTGGGGATGTGGTTGGAAATGGTGTCCAGAGGCTGGCCTTGTTGGGGGAGTTGGGCTTCAAGGTGGTGTCTTCTGGGAGTGGTAAACATCTGTTACTTGGGCCTCCCAGTGTGAAGCTTTGTCCTAGAGAGCCCCTGCGCCCTGCAGAGCTCCCTGCAGTTGATGTGACCCCACTCTTCTACTCAAACTGAGGACCCTGAAGACAGCAGCTCCAGTCTGCCGAGCCGAAAGAGAATGTGCAGTGGGCTCGTGACTGGGGGGCTGTTTGTGCTCTCACTACTGTCCAGGGGAGCAGATGCTTGGTTTGTTAAATTCAAGATGGGAACATTTAAAAAATTATAAGGTATAAAAGTCAGGTTCCCAAGATACCCAGTCCAGTGATCAGACATGTGTGGTGTGGCCTTGAGCAGGTCTCCAAGCCCAAGGGCTTTGGTAGCCACTGGAAAAGGAACAAGGCCTTCTGAGGGGCTGTCCTGGAAGCGGCAGAAGTTGGGCCACAAGAGTGCTCGGTGTGTGCTGACAGGCAGGGAGCTATTGCTCTTTTGTGTTTTCTCAAGGTTGCACAGATTAGTTGAGGGGAAAAAAAGGAAAGTCAGTGAAATTAGCAAGATTGTTAAATTGGTGTGATTCTCAAACTTTTTCTTCTATGTGGTGGTATAGACCTTTAATCCCAGCACTCAGAAATCAGAGGTCGCAGATCTCTGTGAGAATGAGGGCGGTGTGCTCTACCTAGTAAGTTGTAGGCCAGCTAGAGGAAAAAAACCAAAATTTTTTGTTCTTATTTTGTTTACAGTTTAGAAAGTATTTTGAATAATTTCATGACGAGAAAAAGGCTTTACTTTTTAATAATCTCAGATTAAGTCACTGTAGTTCTGACTTCCCTGACTCTTCTGTCTGTATGCCTAGTGGCTTGAGTCTGGAAGTTTCTTCGCCACGTTGTCTGTTGGCAGAGGTGGCTGTGTTCGTTCTCTGACTCCGTGCACACGGCCCCATGTGGAAGAGGCCCAGTGGTGCCTGGTGAGCGCTGACTGCGCACACAGTTCTTCACTCAGTGTTGTTCTTCCGAAGCTGCATCATGGCTGAACCCGGCTTCATCTTCATCAACCCCAAGACTGCTGCTGCTTTATCTTAGGGTCCATTGAATCAGCCCACATGTGTAGGGGGCTTTGCAATAGAGGAAGGTGTGTGTGTACTCCTTCCATAGGTCAGGGATTTGTCCATCTGTCTAGTACTCCTTAAAAGGACAAATGTTTGTGTCTGAAGTGAATCCAGGCTGATGCATGCACCCATAGGAATCCCTGGATGCTGCTGTGGGCACTATTAGCTGTTTCTGCATTCTGCATGGGAACCAGCTCTGGGTTAGGGCAGTCGCTTGTGGTCCATGGAGGACAGCCACAAGTCAAGAAGAGGATTCTTAAATTCTTAATTCTCTTTAAGTGCAGCTTTTAAACACTTTTTTTTCTTATTTAAAAAAAAAAAAATGGAAAGCTTTTTTTTTTTTTGTTTCAGGAGTGCAAGTTTATTTAGGAAAGGCGTTAACTCATGCTGTATTTGGGGAGTGTCTTGAAAGGACAGAGGATAGAGTGAGAAACTCTGGATAAGCTCTGTGTGGATGGACTGCAGCCTGGTGGGGATGCTGAGTCCTCAGCACACTGAAAGCCAGTTCTTGGGGAGGAGGGAGGGGAGCTGAAAGGGTGACTTTTGCATGTAAAGTGTGTTTTCGTGGTCATGTTTTTTCCTGTTTCAGGGAGTTGATGTTTGCCTTCTCTTTTGGTAGTACGTGTGTGTTGCTGATTGCTATCCATGCTGGTAGTTGTGGCGGGCTTCTCAGAAGGGCAGGGCTTCTGTCAGGATGAGCTATGGCTGTAGACACTATCAGGGACAAGTAATTGGCCACATGCAGTCCGCAGTCCCCTGGTCCTGGTGCAGTGTGGGAAGGCTCCAGTGGCTGTGCCGACTGGCTCCCATCCCTCAGATCTCCTGGTTTGTAGGCTTCCCTAAAACCCTTAGAAGAGGGTTGTGACCCCAGTTTTGATGCATATCTAATTTGGGGGGAGCACATCTCTTGTATAAAATAAAGTGATGCTTAAAGTAGTGGCATCCACTTCAGCTGGCAGTTTGTATGTGGTTTGTAATTCTTTATCTGTCTGAGATAGAACCCTGCTCATGAGAGTGCAGGTCAGTGGAGAGAAACTGCCTCTGTCTCTTGCAGTTTAATACCCATTTGTAAACAGTAAACACAGCAGAGCTTTGTTCATGAGCTCAGAAACCAATGCTGTGTTTTGGAAATTCTGTGGCTCATCAGTAGGTCCTGTGGCCATTTAAAGTTTTGCTTTGTGTACCTTGCTGGAGTCGTGAGTTCAGGTTCAAGTTCTGCTCCATTTTAGCATTGGTTCTGTCTGGTCCTGGCCAGGAGGTTTGTCCCTGGGACTTCGTCAGTGCCTCCTTCACAAAGTCAGTTGCCTCTTGGCCGAGGAGGGGAAACATGGTTGTTCTGAAGTGGCTTCAGCACTTCTCCATGATGGTCAGCAGACAGGCCGTTCAGCTTGGCAATTGGGTGCTAGAACCTTCTCTAGTCCCTGTGCATGCAAAAATTCAAAGGCTTGTGTTTCCTTGTTGCTGTTTTAATAGAGCGACCTGTTCTGTTCATTTTCCTAATGAATTGCAGTTGTATTTCCTAAGCCTGCCAAGAGTAAGTGGTGGCTTGTGGAATGGGTGGGGTTCCTGGAGTTGGCCGACCCAGGTTTTAATATGTCACGTGGCCGCTTGATGGCCCCAGACAGGCTACTTTTCTGTGTTTCAATTCTGTATTTATAGATAGGTTTTGTGAGGACTTAAAAGAAGTCGTAGAGGCAAATCACCAGGACTCAGGGGCAGGCAACCCAGATTTGAAGGACATACCATTAGTTTAAGGATAGACGAACACTGGCTTGCATTGGTGGCATCACAGGCCTTTGGTCCATTTCCTCTAGTGGTCATTTTACATGGTGGGCTCCCCAGGAGACCTAGGGTACTGAAATAGGGGCAAGCAAGGTCACAAGGGAAGTGGTGGGAAGGGCTGTTAATGGCACCAGGTTGCTTTAGGGGTGTAGAGAGGAGCGCTCTTCGGGGTCACAGGCTTGTTAGTTGGAGAGTTTTTAAGGCTTCTCCTGGTGTGATGTTTTTCCCTTCATTTGCGGAACTTTTAGATTTGCCTCTTATTGTTAGATAAGCAAATAAGGGTTCACCAGATGTACTAAAGAGTAGGTGGGTGCAGGGAAGGAGATGCAGGTCTGGTTCACAGTGTGTGTGTCCATGACAACTTGATAAACTGCCCTCCAGTAGATTTTGATTATCATTTGGGTCTTGAGGTTAGCATTTAGAAATCCAGAGCTCTGGAGGACCTCTAGATCCTTTCAGATCCATTCATTGCCTCCAGGCAAAATATGTCAATAAATAACCAGGCCAGTCCTGTGATTTCCCTCCCAGTCCAAAAGATTTTGCAGGCAGTATATATTGCAAATTTTAAAAACAAGAACCATCAGTACTTCGAAATCAGGGAAAGTGTTGTCAGTGGACCTTCAGCCAGAGGAGAACGGAGGGCACTTGGCTGTGAGCTGGTGGCACCACGGCCATTGTTTGGCTAAGCTTTCAGGCAGTTCTTGCACACGCTTCAACATGTGGTTAATGGTCTTGTGACTGCGTTAACTGGACCAACATCACTTTAGAACACGCTGAGTGCATGTACAGCACCCTTGCTGCTGTTCCTCTTCTCCTGAGCTCCTCTTCAGCCTAGCCAGAGCGTGTCAGCGAGTGGCTGGACTTCATGGCGTGCTATCATAATTGTGTTGCTAAGAGGTCTTTCTTCTAAGGAACTTTCTTGACTTTTTCATTACATTTCTATAGCCAGATCAAGTCAAAGCCATGTACACAAGTATCCCAAGGAAATTAAGAACTGGTGGATGCAGAGATAGGAAAGCAGTTCCAAACCCTAGCGGGTCAGAGGCAGCTTATAGCCCAGGCAAGCGCATTTCCTCTCGCCCTTCTGTGTCCTTTCAGGGAGAGCAGAAATGTCCACACCTCAGCCAGATTATGATATTTCTCTGTCTCCTTCAGCTCGCTGATGACCGCATGGCCCTGGTATCAGGCATCAGCCTAGATCCAGAAGCAGCAATCGGTGTGATAAAGCGGTCACCTCCGAAATGGGTGGATGGAGTAGATGAAGTAAGTTCAATGTTAGTTTCATGGTGTTTTATTTTCAAGGCTTGAATGATGGTGTCGTTTAAAATATAAGCTCATATGGCTATACCTCGGGGTATGTCCACAGGCTTAAGTGTTGGATATATTCATTTCACATGCCACATAAAAAGCATGTGGCTGTGGCTGTATGATTAAGGCTTTAATTTTAACACTAGCAGCAACTGCTTGTGGAATTATAGAACAAAGTTTAAAGCTGTACAGTAAAGAGGAGTAGGGCAACCCCCCTCCCCTCCCCAAATTAAAATGGCTCCTTAAACCAGCAAGTTCACTGACATCCAGCTCCATATTCCAAGCATAGCTCAGTGTCTTGGAGGCAGACCAATATCTGCCAGGCCTGAGTGGAGTTCTGGTGGCTTTGTTGTTTATAGATACAATATGATGTTGGCCGGATTAAGCAGAAGATGAAAGAGTTAGCCAGCCTTCATGACAAGCATCTGAACAGGCCCACCCTGGATGACAGCAGTGAGGAGGAGCGTGCCATCGAGATAACCACCCAGGAAATCACACAGGTGAGGGCACCAGCTGCTCTCCGAGACCTGGGCGAGCAGCCCGGCCTTCCCATGGCCACTGCCAGTGCCACCAAGTTTCCCTGCTCTAACCCAAGTTGATGGTTTCCTACACTTTCACAGTCCAGCTAAAGTCCCCACTGGACCTCTGAGGTACCAGCTTGTGTGTGTGGTGGTTTCCTCAGAGGTATGGGGCTACTTTTCAATACCACTGTGGTTTGGTTGTATAAAATTAATTCTGAATAGTAATGGTCTGATCTGTCTGTCACATATTAGTACCTAAGATCATATACTGAAGAATGGTTCTGTAAGAAAGTTTCTTGGAAGATTTTATTGAAGATGCCGTTTGACTTTTTTTTTTTTTTTTTTTTTTTGTCTTTTTTGAGACAGGGTCTCCCTGTAGCTCCAGCTGTCGTGGAACTCATTATGTAGACCAGGCTGGCCTCGAACTCACAGAGATCCGCCCGCCTCTGCCTCCTGAGTACTGAGATTAAAGGCGTGCGCCTGACTAGTGTTTAAACTTTAGTGGTTTTATGTTCATTTAAGTCTCCTAGGCACTAATTTTGAGAATAGATTTCCAAATGTTCGTAGCAAAGTAGCAAGGGCACATTTCCTATTCAGCCCCTTGGACTCAGCATTCTCATCTATAAAGTGGGTATTGAAGGAGAAAAAGAATAAAAGCATGGTCAGGACTGTCAGAGCTTGGTGTTGAGTGTGTAGCATGGGGCACACTGCAGATAGAAGGGGAAACCTACGTATGTGTGCAGCATGTACAGTGGACCTCCAGGCACAACACCCCCCCCACCCCACCCCTCCACTCCCAGCCGTTCTCCACATCAGCCTGCACAAGCAGAGAGGCCTTCGGAAGAGAGGCCTCTCGCTCTGAGCCAGAGCCTGTTCTCTCAGCTCTTCCACAGGTGCCAGCGTGCTGTGCAGGCTCTGCCCAGCCGGGCCCGCAGGGTCTGCTCCGAGCAGGAAGAGCGACTGCTGCGGAACGTGGTGGTCTCGCTGGCGCGGGCCCTGCAGGAGCTGTCCACCAGCTTCCGGCATGCACAGTCCAGCTACCTGAAACGTGAGTGCTGCCGGCCCTGTTGAGGGCCTCTGAGTGAGAGATGGGCTGCTTGTGTTTGCTGTCCTCCAAGGCCCCTTTCCCCATTTAGCCCCCTAGCTTTCATGGCTCACCTTGAGTGCAGTCACTCCCGTTGGGAAACCCTGCTGAGGAAAGCAGGCCCAGCCCATGTCAGTGGTGCAGACAGGCTGGGGAGGCCTGGGGACAGCGGGTCCAGGCGAACAGCCTTCATTCTGGCTGTTGAGAAACCCTAGCCATAATCAAGCAGCACGTGTAGAAAGCCTCTTGTCTAGGTGTTGGCCTGTGGAGGGGCTGTTCACTCACAGGTAAATGCTATTCACTACCACCCGAGGGACACACTTGCTAAGCCCTGGGTTCTGAGTGCTGAGATGCCTTCCTGGGTGGGATGCGAGCCTCCCCTTCCAGGTACTCAGCACACTTTTCCTTCTGGAACAGGCCAAACAGCAGCTGTTCCTACAGCTCACATGGAGCCTTGCTTTTCATTGCAGTTGATAAAATCCTCATCTAGTCCTCTAAACCCTTTTCCCCCTCTCCAACAGCCAGCATATTTGTGTTCTCATTTTACTACTTCTAAGTTTGATTAAGGCCGTTTGGAATGCTTACTAGAGATGTCCCAGGAGAGAGCTGTTGACGCTGTCAGTGTTTTGTAGCAGCCAGGGGAGCTCAGGGGCTGCCCCACCTCGTGTCTTGGTGCCAAGCGAGCCGGGCCTCTGGTCACGATCTCTGTCCTGAGTGACCCGAACACCTGCATGTTGTCACGTTTCCCCAGAGGTGGGCCTCCTTGGAGCTGTGTAGGAGCCTCCCCTCTGATTGTGGGGTTTCACTCTAGATCTCCCCTTTTTATGGTGGAACAGTAACCAGGATCGTTTACACACGCCAGTAAAGTGGCTTCCTGTCCATGATAGGCATGAAGAACCGAGAGGAAAGATCCCAGCATTTTTTTGACACGTCGGTACCACTAATGGATGATGGAGACGACACCACTTTGTATGATCGGGTACGTGTCAGGGCCGCAGCCTGCCCCTTCTGTTCTGTTCTGCCTCCTACACTCCTGGTTTCTGAGCGGTGAGGATAGGGCAGCTGCTGACTTGTGACAAGTTGTCCTTGCAGCAGGCAGCAGAGCTGCAGTTTCTCTTGCCCCGGTTGTCCTGGGCCGGCCTTGCACTTTGCTTTTTAGAACCCTTGGGAAGAACCCAAAGACAGGCACACACACACACACACACACACACACACACACACACACCCGCCCGTGTCTCCAAATCCCCCACTTGGACCACTGTGCCACACACCCTGCTGCTTTGGGGATTCTGGGTCTCTTGTTCCTGGTGGACACACGTTGTTATTTGTTGCAAGTACTTCATAAAAATATTGTCAGAATTTGTTTTCCCTAAATGGTGTCTAAACTGGTCCGTTGTAGCTTTCCTAACAGGGAAATTCTGTCATTCGGCCAGGGTTTTACAGATGACCAGTTAGTGCTGGTGGAACAGAACACACTGATGGTGGAGGAGAGAGAGAGAGAGATCCGCCAGATCGTGCAGTCCATTTCTGACCTCAACGAAATCTTCAGGGACTTGGGAGCCATGATTGTAGAGCAGGTGCTACTGTTGTCCACCCTCGTGCTCCTGTGGGGCATCTGGTCCTTCCTTTTGCTCTTTTGAGTCTGCTCCTTGAACTCCATGTATCTGTGTGTGTGCGAGCACCTTCTAAGCATGTATGTATTTACAAGTGATACACATACATAGGCTGCTGCCATTCCCTGTAAAAATATTAATAAACATCTAGGCGTAGCGCACGCCTTTAATCCCAGCACGCAGGAGGCAGAGACGGAGACTAGCCGGTCTACATCGCAAGTTCCAGGCCAGTTGGGGCTGCAGGGATGTCTCAAGAACAAACAAGATGACCCAAACAAAATATTAGTAAGCCTTTTCTTTTCAGATCTAAAAGGGGGTGGGGACCCAGGAACTAGTGCTCACGGCCCTGAAGACTCACGTGAGCACTGTGCTTTGGAGGCCTGCTGGGTTATGGCCAAGGCCAGCATGATTCTGGAAGTACATGCAATTTCCCTTCTAATTTTGGCAGATTGCTGTGTAATGGCCATTGGAACCGCCAGCTTTCAAGTAGAATTAATTCGTTGTTCATGGTTAAAATCTGATTAGGACATTTTATTATCCAGCCTGCAGTGTTAGTTTGGGTCCTGGTCCCCATGAAACCAACTGCAGAGTGGAGTCCCCTTGACGCCCATTCCCAGTGAACTGCCATCTCCTGATGCAGCAGGCTTCTCGTCAGAGTCCTGTCCTCCCGTGTGTTCTGGGGGAGCCAGGAAATTGAACTGTTTAAGAACGTGTCCTCAAGGCCCAAGTGTCCATGTGAAATGGTGGGTTGGAGCTTTCTGAGCTCTGCTCTGGCCTTGGTTTTCTCCCTATTCTCTCTCTCTCTCTCTCTCTCTCTCTCTCTCTCTCTCTCTCATTTTAATTAATTTTCATTTGATTTTATTTTTTAGTCTTTTTGAGACAGGGTCTCCCTGTAGACCCAGATGGTCTGGAACTATGTAGACCAGGCTGGCCTTCAACTCAGAGATCCACCCGTCTCTGCTTCCCGAGTCCTGGGATTAAAGGCGTGCACCATCACACCTGGCAGCCAAGCTGGTATTCTTTGCTTACTTGAATCCAAGTACTTAAGCATAGAGGAAGCAGACACTATAGCTGGCCTTTGTGCCCACAGCCCATTTCCACCCAATTGGGGTTTTTTAAGCACTGGTATGTCTGAACACAGCGTATCCCATAGTGGTTAGAGCCAATAGAGCTACCTCACCAGGGCTGGAGGGACGGCTTAGCGGCTAAGAGCACCACCTGCTCTTGCAGAGGATCCAGGTTCAGTTCCTAGCACCCATGTGGTGGCTAACAACTGTCTGTAACTCCAGTTCCAGGGAATTTTGACACCTTCTTCTGACCTCCTCAGGTACATGACATGGGTGCATTGACATACATGCAAGCAATACATTCATACATTTGAAAAATAAAAATAATAATTTTTAGAAAGCAACCCCTGTTAGTATTTCTCAGGATCTGGTTCTTACTGCAGTGAACACAGCACTCATGCGGAGATCCTGGCAGGCTCCGGTCTGCCTGCTAAGGGTGGGCGCTAGACTCTGCTTGGACCTTTACACTCCGGTAACATGGTGCTTGTGTGGCAGGTGAAATCTTTGATCTACATGTCTCAGATTTAAAATTCAGTCTCCCCAGTTGTGATGACTGATCATCTGTAACTGTCTTTCATTACTCAGGGCACAGTCCTTGATAGAATTGACTACAATGTTGAACAATCCTGTGTCAAGACTGAAGATGGCCTCAAACAGCTGCACAAGGTAATAATAGGAACTGTTCTTAAACCTCGAGAATGCCTCGGAGCTTCTCCTCCATCACACCTGCCCCCCCGTGTTCCAGTTCGTGGTCGGGCCCTGTTAGCTGGGTAGGAACGGCACTGTCGTTCCATTCGCAGTGCCCTGGGGCTCGCTGTGCAGCTGCTCCTTTCTGTCCCAGGTCAGACACGGCCAGGCACCCCTTCTATGGAGCCTGAGCTTTCTTCTCTGCTCGTCCTTCTTGAGTCTCTCTGTGCCACGGGTTCAGAGTTCATGTGCTTGCTGCTGGGAACTCGGGGTCCTTGTGTTGGGGTGCACTTCTGACGAGGTGCCGGTGAGACGCTCTCAGAAAGGATAAATGTCCAACTGTCCCTCTAATTACCACAGTAGAGCTGTGTCACCTTGAGAGGGAGAAGTCTGTGGGACTGAGCAGTGGTGTTCCAGCTCTGCTAACCGGGGCCTGTTTCAGGGTGTTTTCATGACATTTGCTAATGGACAACATCTTAGAAATTCTGTGATCAGCTACAAGAAACATGTATGAACGGCCAAGTACATATACTCTAAAGGGAGTGTACTGATTTGACAGATAAAAGAGATGCTGTCCGCTCCCTTTGCCACTGAGATTCAGGGGCACTTTTGGCCCCATGATGAACATCTTCCCAAGTCCCATGTTTTTGTTTCTCTGAAACTGGCTGCTTCCCATAGCAAGATGGCCCTGTGTCACAGTGGTACCAGCCTCACAGAGAACCCAACCAGCCTGCACTGTCTGACCAGGAGTCCCGCATCTTCACTTGTGTGCTACCTCCTACAGGGTGGGGCGGGGCACAGCACGGGGCAGAGAGAGGTCTCACTTTGTAGGCGTTTAGACTAACCCAGGCGCCGGCCCTGTGCATTACAGTGTGAGCTAGCTCAGTTTCTCACTGACACCCAGGTTTTAGAAGCTGCTAAATTATGCATTGGTTTTGAAGTTTCTTAAATGAAAACTGGGGTCCGTGTGTTGTAGTACCACCAGATAAGGGGACCCCTCCACAGGGGTGAACAGATCTAGCAGTAATGCGGCTTCACTTTAGGTCTTGAATCAGTTTGAGGCTTCCCAGTGTGTCCTCTGGAACTGGCTCCTTGGTCCTTGGGGTTGCTTTAGGGAAGGGCACTTTCCTCTTGGTCCCAGCCTGCACCACAGGCAGCCCAGCTTGCCAGTTCTTGGCAGCCAGGACCTCAGCAGGTGGCCGAGCCTTGGGAGGTGTACCCACTGACTTAACTTGCAAGATGGTCTCTGTGTCCTGTTTCTGGGTTTTACAAAGGGCCCCAGGTGGGTGGTGGGCTCAGTGTGGATGGTCAGCTACCCAGTCAGAAGACCACATAGGAAGAAGGCTGGTGTTCTCACTGGTCTCTGGGCATGCTCCCCTTTGGGCACACTTCAGTCCCCCACAGCCTGCTACCCTCCTGCTCTCCTTGCTCAAGGGTCTGTGTCATAAAGGCAGCACTGTGGGGGCGGGGGGGGAGGTGGTGTTTGTAGCTATGTGCAGATGGCGCTTCAGGAGCCCTGCATGCTATCGGCCAGCAGGAGATGTTCATCAGGTGGCTGCTGCACCAACATCCATGGGCAAGTTGCCCATTTCTCCTTAAAGAATGAGGTGCTCTGTTTCCAGGTTCAGGGGAAGTAGAGGTGGGGGCTCTCAGGACCAGCATTCTGTGCTTTCTGATCAGCATTTCCCTTCACAGGGAAGGCAGTGCGTTCATTCCTGGGGAGCCGAGCAGTGAGCAGCAGGCACAGCCCAGCTTTTGGCATCTCCTGGCCTTTGTCTTCACAGTACATTCCTAACATGTGTCCAAGTCCAGGTGGTCACAGGGCTCTGCACTTTCAGGGGATGAGTTGATACTAATGACAGTTTGACCATGTGGCCTGGCCTATAGCATAGACTTCAGCCATTGCAGAAAGAGCCGGAACCTGTCCTACAAAACCAAGGCGTGGCTGCAATTGTGGGATGACTGCCTTCCCCTCTTTTGCAGGCCGAGCAGTACCAGAAGAAGAACCGGAAGATGCTCGTGATCCTGATCCTGTTTGTCCTCATCGTGGTCCTCACTGTGGTCCTGGTGGGTGTAAAGTCTCGCTAGTGCCATTGAATGCCGCCACATGGATCCCCTGGGTGTGAGGGCCTAGTCAGAGCCTCACTGCCGCCTGCCTGCAGAGCGCAGCCTACACAGTGGACCTTCCTGTGGATGCCCTGGCCAGGGTGCTGGGTGCAGGCCCCGCTGTGTATCTCCATCTCTGTCGAGAGTTTCAGGACTTGACACTGTTGCAGAGTAGAGATGGTATATGATCAGCTGTACTGTAAACACATATTGTTAGAAGTTACAGTGACCTGGACGTTGGCACTGCGGAAGCTGCTCGTGCTGTGTGCTGTTTGCTATTTTTTTTAGCAGTTGCGTCTGAGCAGCATGTTCAAATACTTTTTTGGAAAAATTTTTTTTAAACCATCTGGTTTTTAAGAAGTTTGGTACCAAAAATTTGTGAGTAGAGGCAAAAATCCCTCTTCGTCTTTCTCTATGTCCAGTTGGAAACAAATCAAGAAATCCTTTAAGGATTTATCATCCATTCCCATTAACTTAATCCAGCTTTTCCATCACTGTTAGCAATCAGAGTGAGCAGCGTGGGAAATAAGAAGCCTCCACTGGTGTATGTTGGCACGTTTAGATGGCTGGTCGGAGGCTTCCGAGGTTTCCAGTCAGTCGAGTGGTCCTCCCTTGGAAACTTTGCACTGCATTTTCTACTGTATACCGAAAGAGGTTAACTGAGCAAAACCACCAAAATCGGGATGTTGGTGATCTGAGCCAGCCTCACATTAGTAGAAAGCTTGACAGTGTCCTGAACCAGATTGAGCCTGTGTGTCCCCAGCCATCCTTGCTCAGTACATTACTTACACACTAGCTACGTAATGACCTGTCCAAACCAGACTCCATTTAATGAACTGTGAATTTACACAGAGACCATTTTAATGGGTCACCCCATTTAGCATTAGTGGGTCTCAAATTATTAACCAAACATCACTCCATTTCAAAGTAAAATATTCCACCTGTAATTTGATTTATTGGCTTTTTCGTTGCCACTTAGCAGAGCCCAGAAAGTGGGCTTATTCCTGAGGGCTATGAAAACCTGTGCTAGGGAACCCTCATGTGAGTGTCTGTCTCTATGTGCCTGAGTCTCTGTGTGTATCAGGTTGCCAAAGTAGGATCTGCCCTTTGCCTACCTGTTGACGTGGTGCTGCATGTGCACCAGAGCCAGCGACGTGGACCTGGCAGGTGTGAGGGCGCAGACTGCTGCTTCCCATTGGCCCTCTTCATTGATAGGTATGACTCTAGCGGTCTTGTGCAATTTTTGATGGCCTTTTTATTGACTTTGCTTCTCCTAAAATATTTAAGAAGAGTGTGACCCTGTTAAATATTTTGGGTTTTCATTTGGACCAGTTATATAAAATGCTTCTCTGGAAGTGACTGAAGAGGTTTCCAGAAGCTTCTGTTCAGATCTGGAGATCAGGTCATGCACACCTATTGAGCTCAGCCCCCTCCCTGCCCGGGTCCCCCTTCCCGGTCTTGGCCAGTCAGCCTCTGGCTTCTCAGGACCCACATGGATGTAGAGTGATGGGGTCTAAAAGTGTGCCTGGCATTCCCTGGTGACATGGGCAGGGAGGGTTGGGAAAGAGGACTCAAAGTGAGGGCCTTTGTAGCCCCCGCTGATTTTAACCCACTGGTCAGCTGCTCCTGGGTGGATCTGCCTCAGGCTGTCTGTGGCACCATGCTGATTGTTAGGGCCAAGGAGAAAAGTGACCGTAAGACAGATCAACATTTATTTATATTTATTCACTGAAGGGGTCTTTTGTGTGCGTTTTCCCCCTAGCCCATCTGGGTATCCTAACAAGTTGATTAGACATTGTCCTAAGGACCTGTGGACAGAGGGACTATCCCCTTCTCCCCGAATACAGGGTAGTGCTGGCCATGTCCCAGTTGCAGCCACCCTGACTGGCGTCCTGAGGTGAGACGGACAGGCCTGGCCTGCAGCTGGCAGCAGGGGCTCTTTGGAACCCTTAGCCACTATATTTTTCTACTGAGCCTGTCCTTGGTTAAGGAGCTTTTGAAGATGCAAGAGAAGTTAGTACCCATGTCCTGGCTCCTCAGGGTGACCCTTCCCTTGGAAAAGAATGACTCTTCTGCCTGCTGATTGAGGGCTCATGGTCTGGCTATCAAGGTGACGGTCACACAGGCTAGTCTCTCCCAGGCCCGGGGAGCGCACTGAAGAAGCAGCCCAGCCCCTCATCACTGCCTCCATTTCCCTGTCCTTAGTGGCTCCTGTCGAGTGTGGTGGGTGGGAAGAGAATTGTTGACCCAAAGATCCTATTCTTTTCAACTGTCTCTGAAAACTGCTGTCTGTTGTTGTTTGTCTAGGGGCGGGAGGTTGGGGTGCTGGCTGGGCCATGCTGTGTGAAGCTCTGTGTGTGTGTCTCTAATTTAACGGATGTACTGCTTTCTCTGCTAATTGAGAGAGCGTTATTTATTTGTTTTGACACAAGTGCTTGCGGTGTTTTATTCCAGCTAATGGCTTCTTAAAGGTAATAAAACCCTTCAACCTAATTGGTCAGATAAGACTTTTTTCTTGTATGCTTAAATAAAGCAATTAGTGAAGCGCTTCTGTCTGAAGTGACTTTTTTTGTCCTTTTTTAAAAACTAATTTACTGTCACTGGAAACTTTTTGTACAATAAAGCAATCACACAGATTAAAGAACATCCTGGTATTAATGTAACCACGGGGTCTTCACCCCGCCATCCTGGTATTAATGTGACCACGGGGTCTTCACCCCGCCATCCTGGTATTAATGTAACCACGGGGGTCTTCACCCCGCCATCCTGGTATTAATGTAACCATGGGGTCTTGTTTTCTTCAGATGCGTTTGTGTTGGGGGAGGGCCTAGCCACATCTGGGATCTTTCAGGCCATAACTATTTTGTGCCCAAGGCCTCTGCCTCAGTGTCTGAAAGTCAATGTGTCTGTCTAGTGGGCATCTGCAAAGGGACTAATCTCTTTACTATCTAATATACAAAAAGAGAAACCATCCAAAAGGCAGATAGTTATTTTCCTTTATGGAAATATGCACGCTTTATGTACCTATTAGGACACATTTGGCAACCTCCAGATAAAAGTGTTGTGCCCCAAGTGACTCGCACATGTGGCTCCAAGACACTTGCCTTGGTAAGTGCCTTCCCTACACCATTTGTTTTCTATCCCATTACCCCAAACCCTTGAGCCATGGTATCTGCTAGGAATGTCTCCATGTCCTCTTCCAAGGCCAGGATAGAGCGTTGATGTCCTTACACATGAGCACCTAGGGAGCAGTGGCCTTTGTGGTGGGGCTCAGAGGCCAGGGGAGGGGAAGTGGAGGGCAGGTTCCGGCAGGCTGGTGGTCAGCTCCCAGTGCTGCTGCCCACCTGTTCCTTCTGTGCCTGTGGAGCCACAGGTGGTGCAGTCTTGTCCTGCTCTGCCATTGTGGGGGGACTAGAAAGTGCAGCCTCCTCCCTGCTCAGCAGCCACCGACTTTCCGTCTGACTCAAAGGGCACATAAGGCTAGAGAGTTGGGACCAGTGGTCGTGGCATTTAATGCCCTCCCATCCAGGAAAGGGGAAGGCCTGTGAATCTGCAGACTGCCAGGTGTGAGGGGAAGGTTTGCTTATGATTTTTCAGTTAGGATCTGTGTAGCCCAGACTACCCTTGAGCCTGAGATTCTCCTGCCTTTACCTCCCAAGTGCTGGAGTTACAGGCAAGTGCTACCACACAGGGCTGTGGATAGGTCTGGAGTAGAAAGCTCTGGTTACATTTGTGACAGTCTTTGGTAGTCTAGTGTTGGAATGGTCCTGTGAGAGTGGGTTCATGCAGTCTGGAACACTACCATTGAGCAGAGTGCTGAGCCTTGAGCACTAGCCAGAGGTGGTGGGCAGTGAAGGTCCCTTTGAGTGCTTACCTTGACTGTCGGGTCAGGCTGCGCTCACTCTGCTAATTGTAGCAAACGTCCTGTATGAAGTTCATTCGTAACCCAGAATTGGAGCAGCTATCTTCATTCGTCAGCCCCACTGAGGTCAGAGCCAGTCAGCCTGCTTGTCCATCCAACACATGTAGGCGTCCTAGCAAAGTGTGACACTGCACGGTTTGATCATAGAGTACCTTCTAGCCCAGCCATGTGGGAACCATATGGAGAGACTTTTCTCAGAGGGCTGGCCTGGCCGCTATATGGATGTGGGGGAGGCCAGTCTAAGAACTCTGTTCTTCATTGATTAGTTATGGGAGGTTTCCATTTCTTCTAAGATTTAAGAAGGCAGCCCTGGCCCCATCAAACGTTAGTATGTTTTGGGGCTCAGTCCTGCTAAATGCATGTCAGTGTAGGTTTCCAGTTGTGTGTCTCTGTTTATTGGCCCTTTCAAATTGGGTTTTCTCTGAATTCTCTTGACCACCCACATGGCATCTTTAACCTTGTGTCTGATGGTTTTGTTTAGTTATTTTGAAACTGAGGGAAAGCAGACCCTTCATGTTGATGGGTGTCAGAATGAGCTAAGGAGGGCACTGGTGGACGTGCAGACAGCTCATGTAGAAGTGTTTCCAGTCGGGCTCAGAGTTAGACCCGGGGGCGCCAGATGTGTGCATCTTGTCCCCAGGTCCATACCACCCTCAGATACACTCCATCTTAACCTGGCTGTGTCAGGTTTTCTCACCATACCAAGGGACATTTCACAGAGCCAAATGGCAGAGACTTGTGTACAATTATCTGGTCAATTGAGGCAAAAGGAAATAATCATCTGTCCAATTGTCCAAATGAGCTCCCTGGTCTGTCCTGAATGTGCTTGATAATTGTGTGGTTCTCTCCTTCCATTCCACAGTTGGAGGAAAATGGACCATTTAAATGAGGCTTTATTCGGCGGTGTACATTTAAATCAGGCTCCGTTAAAACAGACCCCTGGGTTTAGCATTTTCTGTTTGCCAACTATAATTCTATAATTGCTTTGAGCTAATCGTCCAAATTCCACCATAAGTAATCGCTATTTCCCTCATTTTATAGGTGTGATGGAGGCCAGGGGCCCTGGTTTGTACCCTTTGGCCTTCTTTTCTTAGGAAGTGCTGAGGGAATCAAATGTTTATTTTTTTTTTTAACTTGGTGTTCTGACCTCAGGCACCGTAATAAACCTGCTTTTATCTACTGTGGGGGGCGGGGACAAAGAACATCCCCCCCCCCTGAACGTCCCCCTTTTCCAGATGGGGAAACTGAGACCTCGCCGGGGTGCGGCCAGGTCACAGCGTGGGTGTAACTCAGGCGAGAACTGGAATCATCAGCTTCCTGATTTTCAGACCAGCACTCTCTTCTGCTTGTGCCATTTTAATTGTTCATTTCTTTCCATAAAATTAAATGACCTTCTTCAAGAAAGATTTAATGGTCAAGATGTGATTTGGTAAAAAGCTTCCTCAAAGATTTTTTTTTTCTTATTACAAAGCTGAGACCAAACGGCAGCTAGGAGGGATTTGCAAACAGTACTGTGCCATTTTCCCCAGTTGAGGGTTTTTGTGTGTGTAATTGGTGTGAAGAGATTGCTGCTGATGAATCAGCCTGCCCAGCAGCCTGCCACCGAACAGAAAAATAATGATTGTTTGGTGACGTGACTGGCTGTATGCACATGTGAGCTTGCAGTTGTTTACAGAAGGTATATGTGTACATAAAATGCTTACTGTCATGGAGAATGTCATCTTAAAGTTGTAAATAATAAAAAACGGGCTCAGCAGAACTGGTTTTAAGTTGTCTGGGAATGCAGCACTTCGTTTCAACACTATGCAATGGCTAGAAATTGATTTTTTTTTAAATCCAATTAAGCCTCAAGGTTGGTTATCCATTTAAAAGGTCGGATGAGCTACACAGTGACAGCACCTTAGCGTCATGCTAATAATTAGATTTACACAGAGCTCCAGCCCTCGTGTCTGCCTTATGGAGGTATACATTTTCTGTTTGCACAACTCGGAGCTGCCCAGGTCCCCAGCACACTCACAGAGCAGGACCCTCCGCGTGCTGAGTCCCCGGCTGTCTAGCCTTCACCTAGAAGAGCGCTGGCCACAGAGCACAGCTCCTCTTTTTCTTCTCCTTAGTCCTGAGGCCCTGGGAAATGGAAAGGAGCCACACATCTAAAGATGTGGACATCACCCAGTTTCATGTGCCACGGAGTTTGATACACCAGATAATCCCGTTTTAAAAACGGTACCTTAGAGTGTGTGTGTTGATGAAGTGTCCCTGACATGTTAAGGAAAACACCTCAGAATAACTTTTTTAGGGTTTAGGTAATGTTTTAAGTGTTGCTGAATTTATGAAGATGCTGGGAAACCATGAAGCTGAGCAGAATGCATTTTCTCTGAGCTGGAGGGACCCTTGTACAGACCACCGAGAATGGTTGTATGGCCGCCTTTCAGGCCTAGCCTTTTAACCCATACCTAAGACAGACTGATACTGGGAGCACTTTCCATCCATAACTGTGAACTAGCCCTAAATAAGGAAGCTTCCAGAACTTTCCATCCATAACTGTGAACCAGCCTGAAATAAGGAAGCTTCCGGATTCAGTGAGAAGAAAATATTGAGCTTGCTTCTCTATGTTCGCCACTCCAGACAACAAACATCAAGCGTTTTCGGTTGGCTTTGCCTCCCTGACTCCTCCCCTCAGCTGCCCAAATCCTCAGCAACATATTTAGGATTCTTTTTGAAAGATCTGCATTTGGATAGTACAGACCGACGTGTAATAAACACACGGGTGTTTGGGAAGAAAATGTGACGCAGGTTGGAGAGTGAATCATTGTCAACACACTGGAGAAATATGCCTTTTTACAGGATCCTGCAAGGGAAGGTTTCTCCTCAGGAAAAGATTTCTTGATCAAAATAAACATTCACCCTCATTTTGCTTTTCTGTAAGTCTCTGTGTTCACAGGTTGAGTTTGCTTAAGGGAATGTGGGACTAGGCTTGCTGTTAATCATTTCCCCCTTCCTTCCTGCAGCCTCCCCAATCCCAAACTCTAGGTCTTCAGTATGCCCTTGAAAACTTTTGCAACTACAGAAATAATTGTGCTGATGTTCTGAGGTAAATAGGAATTTAGTTCCTGAGATGTGAGGGTTATTGCTGTCTCGCACTGGGAGGCTAATTCAGGGACTCAACACAGAGCAGGGAGCTCAGCCCCTCGTCCTCTCCAGGAGTCTCAAGACCTGCTATCCAAAGGAATGTGTTCAGTTATTAATAAATGGTTCTGCTTGTACATTTTCATTAACACATCCTCTCTCATCCTGCTGATAGCAGAGTTGAGAGGGGCTTGCAGATGAGATTATGGCACGGGCTTTTCAAGCAAAATACAAAAGATTGTGTGACACCTTTTGAGTGAGACCCACGGATAGGGTAGTTGTGTTTTTCTTAGAGGAGAGGCAGGCAAGATGAACCACTAAGAATGGCTACCACGGTGGGGGGCGGGGAGAGGTGATGGTTACACAGAAAGGGAGAGGGAAGGATGGGAGTGAGACCTTGAGCATTCCGCTGTACAGTTAAGATTTTCGAAATCTAGAAACGCTTTATGTAGTCAGCAAAGAAAATGTAAAAAGAGAAGAGCAAGCCACCACCTGAACACG